GTGCCCCTCGGGGAGGGCTGTGCCCGCCCCAGGGCCCGGGACTTCTGGCTGTCTCACCTGGTCAGCCCCGCGCGTCCGCCAGAGTGGGTGGACACGGCCGGCTTCGCTGGTGAGGTTTCAAAGCGCCGGGAGCAGCCTCCGCCCCTGCCCATAGCACCGCCCGCGCAGGACACGCTGGGACCCACCCAAACCTCGTTCGCTTGGATGAGCCCAACTGGACACTGGGGTCAGCATCAGTTGAGCCGCTCAGATACTGTGTAAGAAAGGCTGAGAGAAGTGCTTTTCCCAAAGCAACCCAGTGGGGGAGGTGGGCAGTGTGGATGCCGGAAGGAGGGGGGCGTTCCCCACCCACTGGGGATGTCTGGTCAGAAGAAGACTAGGATGACCAGAGCTAACTTACAGAGCACCGTCTCTGATTTCTCAGAAATCTGTAGATTTCTCAAGAAGTTAAATATAGAACCACTCTATGCTCCAGCAGGTCCACTTCCAAAAACATTGAACGCAGGGACTAGGATACTTGTACACCAATGTTCATGGCAGCATTATTCAAAATAGCAAAAGATGGAAAGAACCCAAATGTCCACCGACCCATGAATGGAATTTTTTAAATGTGGCATATACATGCATTACAATGCTTCCCATCCTCAAATAAAAAAGAAATGAAATTTCTTTTGTTGATGAGAATGTGGAGAAATTGAAGCCCTGTGCACTGTTGGTGGGAACGTAAAATGATACAGCCACTGTGAAAAGCAATATGGCACTTCCTCAAAAAGTTAAAAATAGGATTACCATATGGTCCAGAAATTTCACTTCTGGATATATACCCAAAATAATTGAAAGCAGGGTCTCAAAGAGATACTTCCACACTCATGTTCATAGCAGCATTATTTACAATAGCCAAAGATGGAAGCGACTTGAATGTCCATCGACAGATAAATGGATAAACAAAATGTAGTGTATACATGCGATGGAATATTATTCGGCCTTGAAAAAGAAAATTCTGGAATTTACAGGTTTCTGCTTGTGTATTGGCAGCACCATAGCTTTGGAAATAAATTATTAAAACAAAACAAAAAAAAAACAAAAAAAAAACAAAAAAAGAAAAAGAAAATTCTGACATATGCTATAAAATTCTAACCTATGGATGAACCTTGAGGACATTACTATGCTAAGTGAAATAAGCCAGTCACGAGACAATACTGTATACTTTCACTTAAATAAGGTACCTAGAATAGTCAAAATCATAGGGACAGAAAGTAGAATGTTGGTTGGCAGGCAGTGGCTGGAGGGGAAGGGGAAGTTACTGTTTAATGGGTACCCAGTTTTAGTTTTGCAAGATGAAAAAAGTTCTGGAGATGGATGGTGGTGATGGTTCCAACAATATGAATGCACTTAATTCACTGAACTGTACACTTAAAAGTAGTTTAACATTGTAAATATTATGTGTATTTTATCACAATAAAAATTGTGGTAAAATATTGATACATGCTACAATATGGGTGAATCTTTTAACATTGTTATTATGTGTATTTTATCACAATAAAAATTGTGGTAAAATATTGATACATGCTACAATATGGGTGAATCTTGAAAGCATCATCTTAAGTAAAATAAGCCAGACACAAAAGGACAAATATTGTGACACTGTGTATCAGGAGAGGAGGAATGGGGAGTTATTGTTTAATGGACACAGACTTTCTATTTTGAATAATGAAAAGTTCTGGAAATGGATAGTGGTAATAGTTGCACAACATTGTGAATGCACTAATATCATTGAATTGTACACTATAAAATGGTTAAAATGAGCTAGAACAGCTCAGACCTTCTTACCAAGGCATCCAAGGCCAATCCTAGTTCGGCCTCGAATTGTCCATGTTGGAAAGGGCGCTGCCTGGGATCTGGACCTTCAATCCACTTGCCACTATCAACTATGTGACTAGGGCACCCTTTCCTAATTTGACTCATTCAAAATGAATGAGTTGGCTTGCACTAAGTCACTGCCAGATTCTAACACTTCATGTAGTATCTTCCCCTGGTCTATATTCTTCCCTGGACACCTTGCCCTGTCATTTGCACAATACTTGCATCATTTGCAAAAATGTCACAGCCCTTCTACATCTCTGAGCCTCATGTCTGCTGGGTCATGGAACATGGTAGTGGTTAAGAGAATGACATATGGAGTCAGCTGCCCCCTCTCTACCTAGCTCTGCACACAGGACCTGCATGCCGTGGGTGGTATGGGAACCAAAGCCTAGCTTGCCCATTTGTAAATTCCAGGTGACAATAGCTCCTACTGCATAAGTTTGCAATGAGGATTAAATAAGGTAAGGTAGGTAAAGTGCTTGGCACAATGCCTGGTGCTTAGCCGGCACCTGATAAATACCAGTTGTTATAATCGCTCTGTGATGCTTTTCGTATCTTGCTCCATGAGATCTTAACCACCTCTGGAGACTTTGCTCATGGATCATTTCTTCCAGGATGTATTCCTTGA